TCTTTTTATTTTTGTGCTTATTTATGCGACATTTTCATTGTGTGTTTACGGTTCCGAAATGAATAAGTGAAATGTGGAATAGATTGAAGAAGCGCCAAAGTGGTGAGTGCGGGGGGTAACGGGGTAGGGTTAAATGGGGTGGAAAATGGGGATTACGAGGTGGGTGATGGCAAAAAAAAAAAAACCGATGCTTGGGCTTCTGCAAACAGAGTCACATGCAAAGGCGCACTTAAAACTGCAGACGCCACATAATTGTCGCCCCCTGCAGCAGCTGCTGCATAAAAATGCCCCCCTTAACCCTTTATTTTCCACCCCTTTTGCCCGCGCCCCTTTTATCATCTCTTTGCCCACACAGACAGAAGGGGAAATCGCTACCAAATTGGTCGGTAATTTTAATTTAAGGTTTGTTTATAAGATTAGTTCGGGATACCTCACATATATAAAATTACAAAAGATTAAAATAAATGTTAAGACCTGAATATTTATAGATTCTTACATTTTAAAGTCAGCTAAAATTATTTTTAAAACAAGAGAGAACGTTATAGTCGGGTGCCCCGACTATCAGATACCCGTTACTCAGGTAAAGGGAGTGCGAGGGAGATGGAGATAGAGATAGAAAACGTTGATCACGCATAACTTTTTAACGAATGGACCGATTTGAAAAATTTCTTCTACATTTCGATAGGTATTGATAAACACCATAAAACTGCATTTTTACTTTTCCGAAATATTGAAATTTTTAAAATCGTATATAAGGGATTGTGGGCGTTAGAGGGGGCGTGGCACTCTTTTGAAACAAACTTGCGCTGCGTAGGAACTCCTAGAATCTGCATGCAAAGTGTCAATCTTCTAGCTTTTATAGTTTCCGAGATCTCAGCGTTCATACGGACAGACGGACAGACAGACAGACGGACAGACGGACAGACGGACATGGCTAGATCGACTCGGCTAGTGATCCTGATCAAGAATATATATAGTTTATAGGGTCGGAAACGCTTCCTTCTGCCTGTTACATACTTTTGCACGAATCTAGTATACCCTTTTACTCTACGAGTAACGGGTATAATTATTTATTATATAAATTGATTTCTTAGATTTAAAAAAAAAATTAAATAACTTTGGAAATATTAACTACTAATAATATCTGCCAGTGCATTCGCTGCACTGACAACTGTCACTGGTTTTTGACACGGATTCCCTCTCTTTCTTTGCGGCGCATCGCGAGTTAAGCAAACTGCAACCGAAAACTAAACACTCGCGGGCAACCTTTGCGACCTCCGAAACCCCTGACCCCTTAACCCTTAGCCAGCCCCCCCGCCCAGCTAATGACTCATTAAATAACGCGATGCACCAAGGGGTTAAGGCGCAGGAGGAGCCGGGCGATGTGAATGTGTGCATATTCATGAGCTTCGTGTTAAGCTGCCATTTTGACGTCGACTGTTGGCAGGCAGTGTTTGCATAGCCGAAAAAGCCGAGCGAAGAACAGTGAAGAACAGTGAGTGCACACACGAGTTTGGGCATATGAGTAGTATATGAATATGAATATGAATCAAGCCATCAATCAGTGTGTGTCCCTGTCTCTCTGTGTCATTCGAGTGCGTCGCTCGGCTGCCACTTGACATGCATTCGAGGCCCCGCCGGCAGCCTAGCGGTTAAGGGTTAAGGATTTTGGATTTTGGGCATAGCTACCCCGCGAACAACTAAATGAATATGATCATGAATGATGGCCCAAGCGGCATTTGAGTGTTTTGAGTGATGGTGATTGATTCAAGCGAGCTGTTTAGGTCTTAAATCGCCGATGAATCATTGGATTACTAAAGCATTAAATCCGCTTGCGATTATGCAAGATATCCATGAAGAAAAGTAAACATAAGTAAACTATTCATATATTTTTCTTGTTGCATTTTTAGAGTTTCCCTCAAAGTAGTCACAATCAAGATAGTTTCATTTCCAAATAGGAAAAGCATAATTAAACGAACCGACAAGGTTGTCTGGGCCATTTCCCTGCCCCTTCCTGCCATTAATGTTGGCCAATTAATAATATGAGACATCACGCATACGCCACATATGCCAGATTTGCATCAGGACACCCGGCTCTCTCGCTTCCTGTTTAACCCCTTTTTTCCGCCTTTCGGTTAATTCCCATCCCAAACCATCGAAAGACCGAAACGGAAATCGATTAGTCATCCACATAAAACCGAAATGAATGTTTATCGCAGATAGTTTTTTTGGGGGGCCCCGTAATTAAGAGGTTTTTCGATTGGGCGGCGGGGGAGTGGCAAGGTTAAGGTAATAACACTTTTGCATGCCAGACGATTCACCAATTTTCGTTAGATGTTTACTCGCTTTACTCCACTCTACTTTTTTGCCCTCTTTAAACTAGACTAAAATGCTGCATTCTTGTATTCTTTTTTTTTTGGCGCCCCCTTCAAAGCACTTTGGCTGCTGATAAAAGCGAGTTAATGATTCGATGGAACGCTAAGCGCTAACGAGCAATAATCAAATCAAAAATACTTTTTACAAATTGCTGTTAAACAGCTTTTCCTCTCGCCCGCAACTCATCTGAATTTTTATACAATTTTTAGCTTAACCCCACATTACAACGGGGGGTTGGATTTTCTTGCTACCGCCCCAAACCCCAGAAAAGCAAACCAAACCACACACCTCTTAACTTGTTTGTTTGCGGCTTTTGGCCTGTTGGCGCTCTTTTGCGTTTTCCATGCGCCCGCGCGTATCAATTATCGACTCGAATTTAGCCCTCCTTTTGGACGACTCGTCTTCCCAGCTTTTCCGTACCGCATTCACCGCCTTTTTTTTTGCTGTTTGTTTGGAAAATTGCACAGCCAAGGCTGAAATAATAGTGCTATGCTATTTGGAAAAATCTAAATATGAAATCAAGTGCATACAAAAATTTATTTATTTATTTATTTAATTTATTTTATAATTTTATTGAGGGGAATTTAAAAAAGGAAATCTCAATTTTAACAGTAGGTACTATTTTTTCTGCCCCCATCGTACAATATATGTTGCATACTTTCTGGCGGCGCTTTAAAGTAAAGTTCAAGTGCAAGTCAGCGGCGGAAAAAAGAAGGAAAAAACGTCTGCCATCCAAACTGATCCCATTTCAAGGAAAACAGGGAAAAAAGGCAAGGAATACAAAGCTTGGCTGGGGTGGGGAAATTCCATTTGACACTCAGCGAAGAAGACACAATGCAACAATGGAGGTGAAGATGAAGCCAAAGGAGCTGCGAAATAGTGCAATCCGGGAATGCCGGCGAAAGTACCAGTCATTAGGGATAAATTTATGGGCATTGGGAATAGTGAAAGCCGTAATAGATATAACCAATATTTATGAAAGATCCCAAACGAATAAGTAGAGCAAAAACAAATGATTTAATATAAGAATTTAAATACAAGATCAAATGATTAAATTGAAACTATTCAAATATCAGTTTAGACTGCAGGAAGACTGCAAATAAGAAATCCAAATAATAGGAAAAAGTGAAAGGCGAAAATCCCCAGCTGGACCATAAGCTTTCACCTTTATCAAGAAAATATTCAGGAGGGCAGGATGAATAAAAAAACTTGTTTTCCGACTTGCGGATTATAATTTGTTGTTTGTGCGGGGCCGTCAAAAGGATTAGGATCACACGTCTGGCCAAATAATTGGAGCCCAACAACCTTTGGCAGCCGAAATCCTTTATGTGCCCCTGCTGTTGCCCTCCACTTTTGTTTCCCTCACTATTTGAATCTTTAATGTCAATAAGCGGCAGTTGGAAAATAAAAACAAACAGAGGCCAAGAAACGAAAATCATATTTGCCTCCGTTTTGCAAATTGACTTGAGGCGCCTTCGCCTTCGTCTTTCCTTTCCTTCTATTTAATTTTTTTGTTTTATTTTTTATTCGCTTGTCTGTCTGCCAGTCCGCAATGAAATTGTCAAATTGTTGCCCGGAATTTTGCTCGCCTTCGTGTTGAAAATTGCCGAAAGGAAAACTTTGGCGATTTGTGTGCGGCCCAAAAGTTGCTTAAGTTTTCCTCGCCACTGCAGTTCCACATTAACTGCCACATTCGCGATGACAAATCGTTGACTTGCGGCGGCCAATGGCCCCCAGTCCCCGTCCCCGAAAAAATGCAAAAAGGAGTCGGAATTTTAATTGTTTCTGTATATGAACATTTAAGTAATAAACAATAATTCTTTTTATATTCAAAAAATAGCTTTGAAAAAGATAAAGGTTTGAATAAAGATACTATTCATTTTAAGGGCTAGTACCCTTCAAATTCTTTTCAAAATTATATTAAAAATTAAAAAAAATAAGGTTTATATTTAGATCATTACTATTTTTAGGATTTATGTCTAGATCTTGAATCTGTATACTGGGAAGTATCAAGAGAATTCTGCGTTAATTGTTTGCTCCCGGATTGGCTTTTACTTTAAGCTGCTCTGATTACGACACCCCCACTGCCCCTAATGTTCACTCAACTTTTCTTTACTTTTAATTAGCCTCTGCTCGCGGCTCTTCTGTTTTTTACCCCATCCCTTGCTTTGTTATCTATATCCCTCTGCGCGAATTTTCCGGCTGTTTGTAATCAAATCCGCGTTGTGACACTTTGTATGGGGGCTGGGCTAAATAAGAAAAAACAAAAAATTATCCAAAAATATTTGTGAAATTGCTCAAGAGTCTTGTGCTGTTGCCGCTGCTGTTGCTGCTGCTGCTCCTGTATGAAATATTAAGCGGAGTCCGGCGGAAAAAAGGGTTCAAAAGGCCAACAAGCATGCACAGGAAACTGTGGCTAACGAGGGGCGGGGACTCTGTGTCCTGTCACACAACAAACACCTAACAAACTTTTGCTTTCAAGTTGACTGGTGAGCACTGGTTCCATGGGTCGGCGGAAATCCTTGTTAAACTGCATCCGGTTGTCATCTAATTGCAGGCTGTCAAATCCATCTGGCATTCTAAATATAAAATTCTTCACGTTCTTTTTTTTTCTGTATTTCCAGAATGCCGGGCCACCGAGTTCAGATGCAACAATGGGGACTGCATCGATATTAGAAAGCGTTGCGATCACATTTCGGACTGTAGCGAAGGCGAGGACGAGAACGAGGAGTGCCGTAAGTGATATATATAGAGTTTAGATCACCTGTATCTAGTAGAGACCACAGTGCTAATCAAGAATCTTAAGGGTGTACCTATAAGACACCCCGTAACTATGGTTAAACTATACGATTATAGTATCTAAGACTTAAGTTAAACTACTGGTAACCGAAGGTTACATCACTTTTAACATTATTGCTCTCTACTATTTAATCCTAATATTAGAATACCCCTCCACTTGGGGTATCTAAGTTAGTAGTATCTAAATAGATGGACTCGAGATCCGTCGGTTAGCTATACTAACCATTGCTTTCTCAATCTCTGGTTAACTAACCCCCAGTTTTGTAATCAGTACACAGTTATAGTGCCTAAGCGTACATAAGTTGAATAAGTTGTCTCTCGAAATCCGTCGGTTAGCCAACAGCACTACTAACCCCATCTCTTTTCTCTCGTTTAACCCCCAAAACATGCTAACCGCTACCACTAACCCATACTACTAACAGCCGCCGCCTGCAGCGGAATGGAGTATCAATGTCGCGACGGCACGCGCTGCATAAGTTTGAGTCAGCAGTGCGACGGTCATTCCGATTGCAGCGACGCCGACGACGAGGAGCATTGCGACGGAAGTGAGTAGCCATCCATCAGCCACCCATCCATCCATTTCCACATCGAACCAACCACCCTAACACCTCTTTGTCTACGCAGCTTTACCAATTATTCAAAAGATATTTATATTTTAAAATCCATACACCAAAAGTGTTGGTCATGCTGCATAGTCAAGGCACATCTCTCCATTTCTTCATCACTTTCTCTCTCCACTTGAATTTCCCCTTAATGCTGCCGCGGTACAGTTGTGCCCAAGCTACGATACACATGCCCCAAGGGCAAATTCACCTGCCGGGACTTGAGCTGCATATCGATTGTCCATCGCTGCGATGGTCGGGCCGATTGTCCAAACGACCGATCGGATGAGGAGGGCTGTCGTAGGTGTTCCGATATTGGAATAATTACACCCGATTTTGATCGGTCCTCTTTTCTTTTCCCTGCTTCTCGAATGGGAATGCAGCCTGTCTGTACGACAAGTGGCAGTGTGACGATGGCACCTGCATAGCCAAGGAGCTGCTCTGCAATGGCAATATCGATTGTCCCGAGGACATTTCCGATGAACGCTACTGCGAGGGTGAGTAAAACTGCGAAGCGTTGCTCTGGGTCCCTAAGAAATCTCCCTTAAGGAGTGGTAAGTTCCTCCCTGTTTCCTTGTCACTTCATCTCAAAAGTCGACCAAACCGCACCTCACTGAAACAATCACAAACACTCAGCCAAAAAAAACTAACAAACGCATGCTATCGGGATCGATATATATCGATCGTTGTCGTCAGGTGGTAACGATGGTGAGGATTGTCGGTTCGATGAGTTCCGTTGCGGAACTGGTGAGTGCATACCGATGCGTCAGGTGTGCGATAACATCTACGATTGCAACGATTATTCCGATGAGGTCAGCTGCGGTAAGCGTTTCGTGTTATCGATAAGTTTCTTTTTGTCTCTGCTTTGCTTTGTCGCCTCTTCGTGGGTAACTAAAATCGATAATTGGTGTTGGTCTCTATCTCTCTTCCTCTGAATCTTTATTGTTAGCTGTCCTGTGTGTGCTCTTTTCGCTGATATCGCCTTAATCGCTTCTATGCGATAGCCACCTATCGAAGTTTGTGTGTCAATCGATATTTGTTTGACTTTGATTTTAACTCGAAACATATTATTTTTCTTTTCCCCCTCCGATCCGAACAAAATGTGTATTGAACCCCCTGGTTTTGGTTATCGAATGCCCAAAAATTAATCGATTAACCGCACGTCAACCCATTTTGGAAACAACCTGCAACACCTACGACGATCTACAAATTGGCCCAACAATAATATTAAACCTAAAATGCATGTGCTATCAAAAAAACCCCCCACTTAACCCCAAAAACCCGTGGTCTGCATGCGGTTGTCTATCGTAAATCGTAAATCCCAAAAAAATCGAAACTAAACAATCGGACGATAACAGCCGAGGAGGAGGAAGATAGTGTGGGCATACCCATTGGCCGTCCACCGCAGAGGCCAGCGCCCAAACACGACTGGCTGGACGAATTGGACGCCAATGAGTACCACGTCTATCATCCAAGTAATGTCTATGAGTTGGCCAATTCCAAGAATCCCTGTGCCAGCAATCAATTTCGCTGCGCCACCACGAATGTGTGCATCCCCCTGCATTTGCGTTGCGATAATTTCTATCACTGCAACGATATGAGCGATGAGAAGGACTGCGAGCAGTATCAACGACGCACCACCACCACCACCCGACGACCTTCGACCTCGGCCCGGCCCTCCTTCACCTTCACCTTCACGACCCAGGGGCCAGGCTTGCTGGAGCGTCGCAATAGCACCACCAGTAGAACCACCGCAGGCAGCACCACCAGAGCCACCGAAGCACCACAATGGCCATGGGCAACCAGACCCACCGAGACCACGACCACTAACCCAATAACAACAGTTGGCGTAGCGAGTAGGTGTCCTTGAGAATCGGTGAAAAGTGTAGCATACTTAAGTGGGTGATAGGTATTCTTAAGATAGAAAGATAGCTAATAATATCATCCGATGATATTTTCGTTTCCCCAGCAATTTTGTTGCATGAATAGATTAACAACCGGTATAGGGTAATTGGTAACATTACCTTAAATATCCAAGTCGCGTTGATGGTTTAGGTTAGGAAGCGTAAAGTAAAAGTGCATGCCATGTTTGAAACATTGAAACCTACTTTAGCCATAACCAACCAGTACATCTACATATACATACAACTTAGTTAGTTAAGCATTTAATTTATATACTCTTTTAATTGAATTCATTCAGTTCATACCTGTACATATACATATATGGCTCACTCTTCCTCTCTTTTTTTCCGTTCTCGTTATGGCTTGTTTTACTATCATTGCGATTATACATCACATATGCCCGCTGTGTCACCCATCATCAACACCCCCAACAAAAAACAATATAATGCCATACATATAGGCAGCTCACCTCAGTCCTCCTGTCTCGAAAACATCGAATTCGCGTGTCACAATCGCGATTGCATTCCGATTGAGAGCGTCTGCGATGGCACCCCCGACTGCGGACGCAGTGAAGACGAGGACGACGCTCTTTGCAAGTGCACCGCCGACAAGGTGAGACTGGCCACCCAACCGAACCACCCCCTCCCGATTGACCCACACATCCCCATTCCCCATCCAGAGTATATGAATACATAGTGCATAGAATTGACCTTATTTCATTGGAGGCTTTATCCTAAATGATTTGCACCTTAAATTTAGCAATCATACAATGATAAATTAATAAATTATTTGACTAAAGAATTTATATGATATATGGATATTTTCAAAATTAATAATCGTGATAAAATATTAATTAGATTATAAGAAATAAAAAGCACTATGTACACATAAACTCAAGCCAAAAACATCCCCGCACACACACACACACACTCATATGTTAGAAATGGGAAAATGTCGATAAAAATTGATATCTTATCGAAACATGGCCCCACCCCTAACAGCTGTACAAAATCACACCCATTTTCATGCTTTCTTCAGTACAAATGCCAACACGGCGGAGGCTGCATTCCGAAAACCCAGGTGTGCGATGGCAAACCTCAGTGCCGCGACCGCAGCGACGAGAGCGCCTGCCGTAAGTACCATCCCTAGCATTCTTTATATCTTAGGGTTCGTAAAAAATAGAGCAGATCACATTCCTTTCCCTTTCTTGGGAAATATTTAAACTTTTTAATATTTCCAAAATACGAACCCTGCCATCATTCCTTCTTTCATTATCGATCATCTGGTCCTTTTCCTCTTCTCTAACAAGCTTTTGGTCAAATTCATTTACCTAATTATAGCTCTAGTTTAAGTTCGAGTTCGATGCTAACTTAGATTAGTAAGCAGCTCTTTGCGAATTGGTTTAACTGCTAACTGCTTGCGCCACGTCCGATTTCACATCTCGCCTCCCACGTATCGACTTTTGTTGCTAACTGTACTTTCTGTTTTGTTCTCTCCTCGCCCAAAAAAACAAAATATCCCGTGTAAAAATCTATCCCGTATTTTTGACACCCCGAAACGTAATACTCTGCTATCCCCGCTATTACACAACACACATCGCCCGCCCCTGAAAAACTACGATCTCCAGATCTCAATGGAAGATTAAATAAGACTCGTTTGGGGGTCCAGTGCCAGGAAAACCAGTATCAATGTGGCGATGGAAGCTGCATCTCCGGCTACAAACGCTGCAATGGCATCAACGATTGCGCCGATGACGCCGACGAATATAACTGCATCTACACCTACAACGAAGACTACGGTAGTCCTTCATCCATCTATTCATCATTCATTTCACTTGGCAGTGGCTATTCAAATTTCAGAGTGCTAAAGGGGTTTTGTGAAAAATGTTAATGGAAAGATTACGATCTTAAAGGCAATTAAAAACGGGTTTCCATGAAAACATTTTAAAAGTATTAAAAATACAAGTTTCATAAGTTTTAGATCTAAAAAACAATTGTAAAAAAATAACCTATGAATTGCTTTTAAGATTCCCCCTTTTATTAGCACTCTTCAGTTAACCAAGATAGTACTGCTGCAATTTAAATAGCAACTGCATCTATCTGCCTGACTCTACGAATCTATCGACCCGTCTGCGGGACCCACAAATGAACATACCATTTTTCTTTTATCTTTCCAAACTTTTCATTCACCAAAAACACACTCACATGTCAAAAAAAAAACACGAACCCACAAAAGTAGACCCGGACGACAATCCATTGAATGAATGTGATATCCTTGAGTTTGAATGTGACTACAGTCTGTGTTTACCGCTAGAGAAGAAATGCGATGGCTATGCAGACTGTGAAGACTTGAGCGACGAGTTCGAGTGTCAGTCGTACACAGGTAAAGAACGCCCCTCGGTTCGGGGCTAACCTAAAATGGCTCCAGGTGCTACTTCCACTAAGCCTAACCATCCTAACAAGCCAACCGACTCGAAATCACGTACCCCTCATCCACATTCACATTCCACATTCACGCTCCACATTATTCGCAGAGAATTGTCTATTGTCTGAGTTCGAATGCGATGGCTACTGCCTGCCCCGCGATCAGTTATGCAACGGAATAATCAATTGCCAAGATGGCAGCGACGAGCGCAACTGTACCTTTTGCCGGGAAGATGCCTACCTGTAAGATCTCCCCCAACCGTCATTCCTATATGTTTGATTTCCCAGGGTTAACGATTAACGTAACGGTTTATTTTTTATTATTTTGTTTTATTTTTTTATTTAAAAAAAGGTTTACGCTTTTAATTAAATTAAATGTTGTTCCATTTAACCGTTTTGATACCAATATCGTAAAACTCAATTTAAAAGAAGTTACCCCAATTAGTTTATCTTTGGCATTTAAAGCATTTTATAAAACACTTTGTTTTTTATTTTAAAAAAAAATTATATTTTTTAAACAGAAAATCAATTAAATAATCGCAACGATATCGTGGTTTTATCGATAGGCTTAATATATAGAGATCCCTACCATACCCATCCAATCCATTCTACTCCTTTCATATCATAATCATTTCTCTACTCTTTCATGTCATGGCTCTTACTCCAACAAACACAACACATAAACCACATCACCCACCATACAACTTGAACATCACTCACGCGACCATCGCTAACCGATATTCATCGTCCATCAGCTGCACCACCGGCGAGTGTGTGGCCGTAAATCAGAGATGCAACGGCATCGTCGAATGCGCCGATGGCAGCGACGAGCGTCACTGCGGTAAGAAGTGAATAAAAAAAACTGAGCCACCATCGGGGAACTAGTGAAACTCAACGAAACCTAGTCTAAAATACCCCTTGCCACCCTAGAATGTAGTTTTAGTTCCCCGCTTTTGCTTTTGGGTTGCTTGATTTGGTCTTAGAATGTAATCGATTGGCTTCGACTCGATAGAAATCCAATTTGGTCCTTCGAAAATGATTTCTTATGATAATACATATTATCTTTCTAAATTCAAGCCAGGATATATTGTCCACCTAATAGGCTGGCCTGCAACGGCCGATGCGTCAGTCGGAGAATTAGGTGTGATGGCAAACGCGATTGCCTCGATGGCTACGACGAGATGTATTGTCCGGGTAACGAATCCATCCAGTAATTTGTAATCCTTCCGGTCTACTCTTCCTTCAATGCACTTGAAGCTCAAAAGTTTCTTATTTTTACCTTATATCTCGATTTGATCTTCTGAACCCTTTTACTGCTCTGACTGTCTGAAGTTCTTCGCAAAAGGTTTGAAAACCATTCGTGCTCAAACTTGGAAAATACACAACTAGTCAAATAATCTACAAGTATCTTTATTAATTCTGAAACCAATCTATTGCTATTTCTACAACTTTAATGCTTTCTTCCTTATTTGCTATCTCTATGCCATTTCAACACCATATGCTCTATCAAGCCTGCAACCCAACATTCGTTTATCGTTTGTCTTGTTTTGTCGTTCCATCTTTTCGCTAACCCAAACACACCAACAAACATCTCCGCCCAACAACATCCACGCCACATATATACAGTAGTCAACACCACAGAGACCAACTACCATTATCCCACACACAATCCTAAACCAAAAACCTGCCGAACCCACGAGTGGCAGTGTACGAATCTCGAGTGCATCGAGATGAGATTGAAGTGCGATGATGTTCCGGATTGCTCGGATGGATCCGATGAGGACCTCAGCATTTGCTTCGGCACGGGTAATCGAGTCAAGTCTTGCAATCTTCTACGGATTCATGTAGAATCATCTGCAGGTTAATTTGATCTTAACCAGATCTTACCTAACCAATATTCGCATAAAATACATCATTATAACACTGACATGACAAATATCCATTAGCATATGCAATAAGATCAAGTTGACTTCTTAGGCACATTTCAATATCCTAGTTCCTAGTTTCGTAAGACTCTCCCAATCGGAAGCAGGTTTGTATGTGGCTTTAGACTTAGAGCTACCTAAAACTAAGACATAAGCATAATCATCCCGCTTTCTTATCTCTCTTTCTTGCTGCGTCATCCACACACCCATTAAACCACACACAATGCACCCTGCATGATGTTACCGATGCCATCATATAAACATATAGCCACCACACGACTAAAGCCCAGCGACTGCGGTCCGGATCAGTTCTTCTGCGATGATTTATGCTATAATCGCTCTATTCGATGCAATGGCCATATGGATTGCTCAGATGGCAGTGATGAGATCGCTTGTAGCTCGCTGTCAGTGCTTCCATGTCCACAGCACCAGTGTCCCAGTGGCAGGTGTTATTCGGAAAGTGAGCGATGCGATCGCCACAGGCACTGCGAGGATGGCTCCGATGAGGCCAACTGTAAGTCTCCGTTACCATCGTTTCATCTCCCATATACATACATCTCCCACCTTCCATCAGTCCCAATGATTTTGGGATTAGGGATCCCAGATCACGGATCAGTGATCGTAAATTGGTATTGAGGTTAGATCTGTGGAGAAGTTATATTGGGTAGGGTCTCTGGGCTATTTGTGTCTTTAAGGATCAACCGATATCTATGTGTATATCTATATTTATTTTTTAAGCACCTGATCTTTGTATCTCTATAAGCACAAGCGCCTTTTTTGAGCAGCACTAATGTCAGTAAATATGAATATCGTATTTTTATTTTGCACAAATCTCAGCTTAAAATTCAATGACAACATTGAAGTTCCTTTTTTGAATATCGTACTTACATACTGCACAATTAACGTATTTGTATCTGTGTCTTCCATTTTTATAAATGTACATATAAATATCAAATGTGCATCTCAAGAAAGTTTCCACACAACATTTTTTGTTGAAATTAATAATCGAAATTTAGTAATAACGTATTTATTCTGAATACCGTGATTTTAATTTAAAGAAAAACCTCTCACAACTAAATATCAACAGATATTACAAGGGTACAGTTATTGCATTCCAACATCGTATTGCATCCAATATGAATATCGTATGTGCTTTTCAGTTGCTAATCTCTTTCTTTTATCCGTCTCTCACTCCGTTTCTCTTTCTCTCACGCTTTCTCCACTCTGCTTTTGATCGTGTGAATATATATATTTTTGATTTTGCGTGTATTCTATCTCACTTGAACGGGTCTGCACCATCAAAACCACACCAAATATCGTATTTAGGTACTGCCATCCTGTGCAAGGATAACGAGTTCCTCTGCTTCGATCGCCAGTTTTGCATAAATTCCACGCAGCACTGTGATGGCTTCTACGACTGCCGAGACTTTTCCGATGAACAGAACTGCATTGGTTAATAAACAGCCATCGACTTGGTTTCATTTCAGTTCTTTGAAAAATGTTGCTTTAGCTGTAGTCACCCAACAATTATAGAACTTTAAAAAATTAAATTCATGAGTGTTTTGTTTAAAATGATTTGTTTAAGAAATATTATTGGTAATAAGATTTACTGTTTTGTTTTTTGCCTCCTAATATTCGATGTTAGATCGGTAAATTGTCCGAAATATTGATTATTGTTATTTATTCGGTATATAAGTTTACTTTAAGTCAGCCTGCATGCTTCGAACATTGTATGCACTGTTTTTTTTTTTTATTTTCCGTACTTGTTTAAAATCGAAATTTAACTTACCCTTTTCAGCAGTTGTAGCGAAGTTAAATCTGAGTATTTGGTTGCCTAATTCTGACCTGCATTTTCCCCTTATCCCACAGGCTGTTACGCGGATCAATTCCGCTGCAATAATGGTGACTGCATTGCGGAATCGGCTCATTGCGATGGAAATATCGATTGTAGCGACCAGTCCGATGAACTCGACTGCGGAGGAGACTCGCAGTGTCTGCCCAACCAATTCCGCTGCAAGAATGGCCAATGTGTGAGCTCTACAGCGCGTTGCAACAAGCGTTCCGATTGTTTGGATGGCTCCGATGAGCAGAATTGTGGTAAGTAAGAGGATAAGGTGATCCCAAAAACACCGAACACCAGACTCCATCATAATCATCGCAATCATTGAATCATCGCTCGTACACTGCATCATTCGCTCGCTTATATATGCCATAAGGTCATCATCATGTTGAGGTCAGCCCAGGAAGCACTGGAAGTACCAGCACCACCACTAGCACCACTGCCATGACGCCTCTGAGAATCATCTGTCCACCAACCTCATTTAAATGCGAAAATGGACCCTGTATTTCGCTGGGCCTCAAGTGCAACGGACACGTCGATTGTCCGTATGATAGTAGCGATGAGGCGGATTGTGGCCAAATCAGCAATGACATTGATCGTAAGTGGGCCACCCACCGAACCAGCGAGATGCCAACCAAAGAACCAATAACTGTCTGATCTCCCCAAAAAGTAGCTACTAACTGCGATTAAGGGCTAAGGCTACCACACATCTATCTATCTGTCCACCTTTTTATCCACTGACTCACCCAAAGAATACCTCATGTTTTATGCCAGACTAACTCTAAATTTCTTTCAATCCTCCCCAAAACAGCCAATGAACCTAACAACTCCGGACGTGGAACGAACCAATTGAAACTCAAGACCTATCCCGACAACCAAATCATTAAGGAGAGTAAGTATCATTGTTTTTCTTAAATCAAAAATATTAAAAAATGTTAAATGTTTCGGGAGCAATTATTTAATCTTAAATCTCGCTGTTTTGATGTTTTAAACTATTTTTTGGACATCCCTAATTGCCGTTCTTTGTTCTCGTTAATGCTTAACCCAACCCAATTCTATAAACCAAAATAAAATATATAAAACCGCAGGATATATTAGGGAGGGTAAGTTGGCCTAACTACAATCACCTTATGCATTCGTAGTAGAGAATATATATTGCGACCAGCACTTGGAACCCAGCACCAATAGCACAACGAAATTGCACGAACCAATTTGGCCAGGAGTGGAGTTGTACATTGAGTCGAAATTATTCAATCACCGAATCCTTAGAGAAACCCCTTATAGCTATAGCATTTACTATGTATTATTTCAAATTGAGTGTCGAAAGAATGAGGACTACCATATGAATAAATTGTTGGATAAGCGTACGAATTTTAAAATGAACGAGGAAATTATATTTCAAATATTTGGTCTTGAATATTTTTGAAAATGTACGTTAATAGATCCCAACAAGAATATCATATGCGTAGATCCCATTTTGAACAAATTATGAGTATTGTAAGCGTTTTGCATTTAGTCACCTTTCTTTGCTCGTTTGCAGTTACCCATTCGTGTTTGGCCCCATATTAATTAACATCTCGTACCATATAGGTCGTGAGGTCATCTTCCGTTGCCGTGACGAAGGTCCCAACCGCGCCAAGGTCAAGTGGTCGCGACCCGGCGGACGTCCCCTGCCCCCCGGTTTCACCGATCGCAATGGCCGCCTGGAGATCCCCAACATCAGGGTAGGTTAAGCTTCCTATCAACCCGATTAACCATTGCTAAAATCACTCAATATATTTGCGTAACAGGTGGAGGATGCTGGCGCCTATGTCTGCGAGGCCGTGGGCTATGCCAACTATATTCCCGGTCAGCACGTCACCGTAAACCTCAACGTCGAGCGCTGTGAGTATGAGTCCTAGTTTGAGTGGGTCATAACCTTGGGGTTTCTAAGGGTGAAAGACATTGTTTAATCTGTGCAAGCAGCCTGGGGCGAACACAAGTACGAGGAGCTGCGCTCGAATCGTATACGATACGGAACTGTTCCACACATCGATCTCGAGTTCTTCGGACTAGGTAGGGTTTGGGTTCCTATGGGGCTACCACCACATGAAATTGTAGAATACACGTGTTGGTAACTCCGTAATCTAGAATTTGCCAAAACTTTTCATTAACTTTTCAATCTCCAATTTGCCGCTTGGCTATATTATTGGTAAGCTGGTTAGACCTTCAACTTTCTCAGAACTCTCCTAATAAAATTTTATTTAACTTTCCTCTCCTCCAGTAAACGAACGCGAAATCCGTCCGGACTCAGCCTGTACGGAGTACCAGGCCACCTGCATGAACGGCGAGTGTATCGATAAGTCGGGCATCTGCGATGGACATCCGGACTGTTCGGATGGCTCCGATGAGCACAGCTGCAGTTTGGGTTTGAAGTGTCAGCCCAACCAGTTCATGTGCTCCAATTCCAAGTGTGTGGATCGCACCTGGCGCTGTGATGGCGAGAACGACTGCGGCGATAACTCCGATGAGACCTCTTGCGATCCGGAACCAAGTGATGCTCCGTGCCGATACGACGAATTCCAGTGCCGCAGCGGTCATTGCATTCCCAAGAGCTTCCAGTGCGACTATATGAACGATTGTACCGATGGTACCGATGAAATTGGATGCTGTAAGTATTACCATGGTCATTTACCAATTGGTCCTTCATGCCAGATATTGGCAACCCTTGTTCGGTTACCCCAACCACTATAAACTATTTTTTCTTATCCTATTTCCAGCGGTGCCCTCTCCAATGACCCTACCCGCACCCTCGATTGTCGTGATGGAGTACGAGGTCCTCGAGCTGACCTGCGTGGGCACCGGCGTCCCGACGCCGACGATCGTGTGGCGTCTCAACTGGGGCCATGTGCCCGAGAAGTGTGAATCGAAGAGCTACGGCGGAACCGGAACCCTGCGCTGTCCGAACATGAGGCCCCAGGACAGTGGTGCCTACTCGTGCGAGTTCATCAACACACGCGGCACCTTCTATCCGAAAACGAACTCGATTGTCACCGTTACGCCGGTGCGCTCGGATGTCTGCAAGGCCGGATTCTTCAATATGCTGGCCCGCAAGTCGGAGGAATGCGTCCAGTGCTTCTGCTTTGGCGTTTCGACCAACTGTGACAGTGCCAATTTGTTCACCTACGCCATTCAGCCACCGATCCTTTCGCACCGCGTGGTCAGCGTTGAACTCAGTCCGTTCCGTCAAATTGTCATCAATGAGGCTAGTCCGGGTCAGGATCTGCTCACCTTGCACCATGGTGTTCAGTTCAGGGCATCGAACGTACACTACAACGGCCGGGAGACACCATTCTTGGCCCTGCCCGCTGAGTATATGGGCAACCAGCTGAAGTCCTATGGCGGCAATCTGCGCTACGAGGTCAGGTACAATGGCAACGGTAGACCGGTCAGCGGACCCGATGTCATCATCACCGGCAACAGTTTCACGCTAACCCATCGCGTTCGCACTCATCCGGGTCAGAACAACAGGGTGACTATTCCCTTCCTGCCGGGAGGCTGGACGAAGCCGGATGGTCGCAAGGGAACGCGAGAGGACATCATGATGATACTGGCCAATGTGGACAATATTCTGATTCGACTGGGCTACCTGGATAGCACAGCTCGCGAAGTGGATCTGATAAATATCGCCTTGGATTCGGCCGGAAGTGCCGATCAGGGATTGGGCAGTGCCTCGCTCGTGGAGAAGTGCACCTGTCCGCCCGGCTATGTTGGTGATTCGTGCGAGTCCTGTGCCTCGGGCTATGTTCGCCAGGCCCGCGGACCTTGGCTGGGTCATTGTGTGCCCTTCACCCCGGAACCGTGCCCAGCGGGAACCTACGGCAATCCCCGACTTGGTGTTCCCTGCCAGGAGTGTCCGTGCCCCCACGCGGGCGCCAATAACTTTGCCAGCGGCTGCCAACAGAGTCCCGATGGCGATGTGATTTGCCGCTGCAACGAAGGCTATGCCGGCAAGAGGTGCGAGCACTGCGCCCAGGGTTACCAGGGTAATCCGTTGGCACCGGGAGGAGTCTGTCGCAAGATACCCGATAGTTCGTGCAATGTCGACGGCACCTACAACATCTACAGCAATGGAACGTGCCAGTGCAAGGATAGCGTGATTGGCGAACAGTGCGACACCTGCGCGCCGAAGAGTTTCCACCTCAATTCGTTCACCTACACCGGTTGCATCGAGTGCTTCTGCAGTGGAGTGGGCTTGGATTGTGACAGTAGTTCGTGGTATCGCAACCAGGTCACCAGCACCTTTGGACGAACGCGCGTCAATCATGGATTCGCCCTGATTAGCGACTATATGCGCAATACCCCGGTAACGGTGCCCGTTTCCATGTCCACCCAGGCCAATGCCTTGAGCTTCGTGGGATCCGCCGAGCAGGCCGGTAATACGCTCTACTGGAGTCTTCCCGCCGCCTTCCTGGGCAACAAGCTGACCTCGTACGGAGGCAAGTTGAGCTACACGCTCAGCTACAGTCCCCTGCCCAGCGGCATTATGTCGCGCAACAGTGCCCCCGATGTGGTGATCAAGAGCGGCGAGGATCTGAGGCTCATCCATTACAGGAAGTCGCAGGTCAGTCCCAGTGTGGCCAACACCTATGCCGTGGAGATCAAGGAGAGCGCATGGCAGCGCGGCGATGAACTGGTGCCTAACCGTGAACACGTCCTGATGGCCCTCAGCAATATTACGGCCATCTATATCAAGGCCACGTACACGACTAGCACCAAGGAGGCCTCGCTGCGATCGGTCACATTGGATACGGCCACGGCCACCAATCTGGGCACCGCACGTGCCGTCGAAGTGGAGCAGTGCCGCTGTCCCGAGGGCTATTTGGGTCTCTCCTGCGAGCAGTGTGCTCCTGGCTATACGCGCGATCCGGAGGCAGGAATCTATCTGGGTCTCTGCAGGCCCTGCGAGTGCAATGGACATTCCAAGTATTGCAACAGTGAGACAGGCGAATGCGAAGTGAGTATCCGGCTGGAAGGACCAAGGTCGTAAAACCTATTAATGATTAATCTTTTCCAGAGCTGTTCCGACAACACCGAAGGATTCAATTGTGACCGATGCGCCGCCGGCTATGTGGGTGATGCCACCCGAGGAACTTCGTACGACTGTCAATACGATGACGGCGGCTATCCGACGTCGCGTCCACCGGCACCGGGCAATCAGACGGCCGAATGCCTGGTGAATTGCCAACAGGAGGGAACCGCCGGTTGCCGCGGCTACCAGTGCGAGTGCAAGAGGAATGTGGCTGGCGATCGATGCGATCAGTGCCGCCCCGGAACCTATGGACTGTCGGCCCAAAATCCGGACGGTTGCAAGGAGTGCTACTGCTCCGGACTGACCAACCAGTGCCGCTCGGCGTCTCTCTACCGCCAGCTGATACCCGTGGACTTCATTTCGACGCCACCATTGATAACAGACGAATTCGGCGACATCATGGATAGGGATAACCTTGTGCCCGACGTGCCCAGGAATGTGTATACCTACAAGCACACCTCCTACACGCCCAAGTACTGGAGCCTGAGGGGTAGTGTGCTGGGCAACCAGCTGTTGTCGTACGGCGGCCGCTTGGAGTACAGCCTGATTGTGGAGTCCGTTGGCCGGGACCATCGTGGCAAGGATGTGGTCCTAATTGGCAACGGACTCAAGCTGATCTGGTCGCGACCCGATGGCCATGACAACGAGCAGGAATACCATGTGCGTTTGCATGAGGACGAGCAGTGGACGGTTGAGGATCGTGGATCGGCACGACAGGCCACGCGGGCCGACTTCATGACTGTGCTGTCGGATCTGCAGCACATCCTGATCCTGGCCACACCCAAGGTGCCCACGGTCAGCACCTCGATTAGCAATGTCATCCTGGAGAGTTCGATAACCACGAGAGCGCCTGGAGCTACGCATGCCTCCGATATCGAGTTGTGCCAGTGTCCATCCGGTTATACGGGCACTTCCTGTGAGTCCTGCGCACCACTGCACTACCGCGACGCCTCTGGACGCTGCAGTCAGTGTCCTTGCGACGCTTCCAACACGGAATCCTGCGGCTTGGTCAGCGGCGGTAACGTCGAATGCCAGTGCAGGCCACGCTGGAGGGGTGATCGCTGCCGGGAAATTGGTAAGTGAAGAAGTAAATCACACTCGTCCTTTCACCGCTCTCTCCCTATTCTCCATTACTGGCATTCTAGCCCAACTTCTGCATACCGAACATCATGAAATACAATCGTTTACATCCACTAGCATCCCCTAGTCTAAATGAACTTTAAATGCCCACTTGGATTTCGTCGAACGATAGAAACCCTTGATCGAAAGTAGCCCTGTCCGTTTTTGGCATGACTTACAATTTAAATTTTAGTGTATTTCAAGTATTTCTAAAACATTACTCGTAATACTTTCGATCTCTGGCTGACTGCGTAATCCGAGTAGTGGGTACACAGCGATCGGATCAACCGATTATAAAGATCTTACCTGTTTTGATTTACTTTATCCTTTCTCTCGGACTTTTGTTTTTGTCATTCCTCCTCCGTCATCAACTATAAAACCAATCGAAATCGGACAATAAAAAAACTGAATAATTGAAATCACCAAAACCAACAAACATCCCATCCATCCACATTCTAGACACATCGCCCATTATCGAAGAACCGCCCCAGATATGTGATTTAAGCAGGGGATTCTGTTGCAGCGGCTTTCAGTTCGATATCGCACCGAACGAGACAATCTCGTTTAATGACACCCTGCAGATATATAAGGGCAACAGAATCATAGGAAATATGACCAAGCTGCGCTACGGCTGTCCATCGCGAGGTTCGCTCCAAGCTCTCCGATCCACGGCACTGAACCACTGAGAACCACTCAGCCGCCTACAAAGAACACCACAACTGTTGCCTTTCTAATACTCGTACCTCTATATCTCTCACACCACCAGCACACCTAAAACTCCACTCTACACCACCTATTTAGTATCTTCCAAGCTTAGATATGTGAAAAGATCCGTAGATCTCTGTGTGTGTGTGTAGTAGAGCGAACCTAACTCTCGTATATTTGTGACCTAAACCCCAAAAGTAGACCACGCGGGAAGTTTCCCAGACTCTTGTAATTGGGTTAGATCCTGTATTATCTCCGCCTCTCTTTTTTTCTGACTCTGTGTCTGATCTTTCGGTGATCTAAAATACCACTTAGCTAGTTTATGTGTCTTAGTACTTGTCTTACCCCAAAAGTAGTTTTTGTTCTCTGTGTACAGTTGCCGCACTAGACCCTCTGATCCTCCGAACCTTCTTCGACTAGCCCATCGGTAACTCTTTTGTCTTTGTCTCTCTGTCTCTGTGTGTACCATACGTTATTTGTATCTTAGCTGCCAGTCTATAACGTCAGCGACCGCAAAGCCACAACATATTGGCCCAGGAACGCGTTGAAGTAGTCCGTGAACTTACCGTAGCCACTAACCCAAGGTTAGAATCTGACTTCTAAATTAAATAGTGCGCTTCACAACTTGAATAGCACAATTAATTATTGATTAACATGTAACTGTGTCGTCTATAATGACTATAAAAAACTACAATACATCCAAACTTACCAATTAAATTTTCTTCTAAATAGTGCAAGAATGGGTTTTAACCATTTTAAGAATTATAATAACTGATCTCTTAAAAGTAGTGGTTAGACTAACCTCTTGAAATAAACCTCAAAAGTTATGAAACGCACTATATCCATGTTTTTTTAACCAATCTGTCGATTAACCCGTGGAGCTGTAGGTCAACTGGAGTGTTCCCCTAATGGGAATGGAGACTCCAAGGAACCAAAAACTAAGCCCCTACTACGATCTCCTGACTTTGTGTCCCAAATAGGAGTCATTAAAACGCAACCACATGTCACTAACACATTCTCAAGGCCTCTCTTTGCGAACCGAGTTCTCATGTGATTTTTTAAATCAAATAGTGTAAAAAACTGAACAAGATTTTAACTTACATTAATGCGAAACTCAGATGAGAACTCACTCGTAAAAGAGGGATTTACTCACACCGCTAGGAACTCAACAATTGGGAACAGCCTATGGTGTTGAAGTGTTTGTCTAATCGATATTCCCCGCTACCCTAGAAACTAACGAACCGACTCCGGAACCGGATACCAGTACCGATGATCCCGTGCGCACCCAGATCATAGTGTCGATTGCCAGGCCAGAGATTACCATTCTGCCCGTGGGTGGATCGCTGACCCTCAGCTGTACCGGTCGAATGCGCTGGACCAATGTAAGTTCACAGGGATCTGATATAGTGGTTTAGATGGTTTAGAATCATATAATATTTTTACTGTGACTATAACACATCTTTAAATTCCTATCGCCCAGAGCCCAGTGTTTGTGAACTGGTACAAGCAGGGCAGTCACCTGCCCGAGGGAGTCGAGGTGCAAGGCGGTAATCTGCAGCTGTTCAACCTGCAGATCAGCGATTCTGGAATCTACATCTGCCAGGCCGTAAGCAACGAGACCGGCCACAGCTTTACGGACCACGTCTCCATCACCGTTTCCCGTGAGTACCGGTTACCTAATCCTTTACCTCTAAAATCTACCAAATAGCTAATAACACTTGTAATCTCATATAAATTGCGGCATTTATCAAAGGATATGCCCAGGAAATGCTGGCACGATACGGTACTTGAAATTAGCAAACAAAATAACATTTTATATTTAGAAGATTATATTACATTTGACATTATAAAACCCATGTTTTCTCTTTTACCAAAAAATGCAATTCTCAGAGGAGGACCAACGCTCGCCGGCTCACATTGTGGATTTGCCCAACGACGTGACCTTCGAGGAGTACGTAAGCAATGAGATCGTCTGCGAGGTGGAGGGCAACCCACCACCCACTGTCACCTGGACTCGCGTGGATGGCCATGCGGACGCCCAAAGTACGCGAACGGACAACAATCGGCTGGTCTTCGATTCGCCGAGGAAATCGGACGAGGGTCGCTATCGCTGCCAGGCAGAGAATAGCCTGAGTCGGGAGGAGAAGTACGTAGTCGTGTATGTCCGGAGCAATCCTCCCCAGCCGCCGCCGCAGCAGGATCGTTTGTACATCACACCGCAGGAGGTGAACGGTGTGGCCGGTGACTCCTTCCAGTTGTCCTGCCAATTCACCAGCGCTGCCTCTCTGCGCTACGATTGGTCCCACGATGGTCGCTCCCTGTCCGCGTCGTCACCCCGAAATGTTGTGGTCCGCGGAAATGTCCTGGAAGTCCGCGATGCCAACGTTCGCGACTCCGGCACCTACACCTGTGTGGCCTTCGACCTGCGCACCCGACGCAACTTCACCGAGAGCGCACGGGTCTACATCGAGCAGCCCAACGAGCCGGGAATCCTTGGGTGAGTGAGAAGTTCCGCTAAGGAATATTTGCCTTTAAAGTAGAGCAGTTGGAAGGGAGAAAATAATGCTAGAACATACAAACATATCTATGATTTCTAATTCTAGAGTTCAATTTAATTTATTTGATATGCCAGCGCTACAAGTGCTGTTTTTTGTTTTTTTATACCCTTGCAGAGGGTATTATGATTTCAGTCAGAAGTTTGCAACGCAGTGAAGGAGAGATTTCCGACCCCATAAAGTATATATATTCTTGATCAGCATCACAAGACGAGTCGATCTAGCCATGTCCGTCTGTCCGTCCGTCTGTCCGTCCGTTTCTACGCAAACTAGTCTCTCAGTTTTAAAGATATCGGGATGAAACTTTCGTAGAAGTCGTATTTCTATTGCAGGTAGTATATATGTCGGAACCAACCGGATCGGACAACTATATCTTATAGCTCCCATAGGAAGGATCAAAAAAAAAAAAGTAAAAAAATTCTAGCTCCGGTGTTTTTTTAAATTTTACCTTCTACTCTTGGGAATATTTTTTTCTATATATTTCTGAATTTCGGTTTTTTTGTTTTTTTAATCGGATCACTATATCATATAGCTGCCATAGGAACGGTCGAAAAATTAAATGGAAATTAATGGGAAAAAATTATATCTTTGTTGGTTTTTATTACATTCCCTTCTTCTCTGGGATATGACTATTTTGAAATATTTCCGAATTTCGATTTTAATTTTTAAAAGATCGAACTACTATATCATATAGCTGTGATAGAAACGATCGAAAAATTAATGTGAAATAATAAGAAATTTAACATTTTTGCGATTTGTATATTAATAGAATGATCTGCAAGGGTATATAAGCTTCGGCTTGCCGAAGCTAGCTTCCTTTCTTGTTTTTAATTTTTTTTTTTTTTAATTTAAAAAAATATTTTATGATCTGAGACCTAAATATTCCATAACTCCATTTATATTTCACAGCGACAAGCCGCATATCTTGACCTTGGAGCAGAACATCATAATTGTGCAAGGCGAGGACTTGAGCATCACATGTGAGGCAAGTGGAACGCCCTATCCCTCGATTAAGTGGACCAAGGTGCAGGAGAATCTGGCCGAAAATGTCCGCATCAGTGGCAATGTGCTCACCATCTACGGAGGCCGCAGTGAGAATCGTGGTCTTTACTCCTGCATCGCCGAGAACTCTCACGGCAGCGATCAGTCCAGCACAAGCATCGATATTGAACGTAAGTTATCAGGGATCCGATACGGTTGTATTATATTATATCTTCATCCCCAGAGGCTACCTTTATCTAGTATCAGTTGCGGTGAAAGATTATTAAGTTATAATCTTCTTTGACCGCAACCTCTCTCAACCTTTCTCCCTCTATAGAGAACAAAAGTTCCAAACTAACAATCCTTTGCTCTATTTCGTGTTGTTGTCTCTCTTCCCTCACAAACACTTATTAATCCCGAATATTGATTTTTAAAAAAACCCCAAAATCCCCCAAATGTATTTAATTAAAACCCAACACTTCGCCATGCAAGTGCACAAGAGTGGAGTTGGTAATAAGACAGGTCCGCACAGTCTTCTCCTAATACTAATTGGTGCCACCACTGTCGTTTACTTGTTTGCAGCCCGGGAGCGGCCGAGTCTTACGATTGATACGGCCACCCAAAAGGTTTCGGTTGGCTCCCAGGCGTCCCTTTACTGTGCCGCCCAGGGCATTCCCGAACCGACCGTCGAGTGGGTTCGAACGGATGGTCAGCCACTGTCGCCGCGTCACAAGGTCCAGGCACCCGGCTATGTTGTGTAAGTACTCTCCTCTCTACTAGAAGCCATGTGTAAACCTATTTCATAAATTCGTATGTATTCCCCTCTAGGATCGATGACATTGTGCTCGATGATAGCGGTACCTACGAGTGCCGGGCGAGCAACATAGCTGGCCAGGTGAGCGGCTTGGCCACCATTAACGTCCAGGAGCCAACTCTTGTGCGGATCGAACCAGATAGGCAACACCATATCGTCACCCAGGGCGACGAACTCTCGCTCAGCTGCGTGGGCAGTGGCGTCCCTACTCCTTCGGTCTTTTGGAGTTTCGAGGGAAGAGACGTTGACAGGATGGGAGTACCGGAAGGTGCTGTTTTTGCGCAACCTTTCCGAACCAACACTGCCGACGTGAAAATCTTCCGGGTGAGCAAGGAGAACGAAGGCATCTACGTCTGTCACGGATCCAATGACGCGGGTGAAGATCAACAATACATTCGCGTGGAGGTACAACCCAGACGGGGTGACGTCGGTGCAGGTGAGTTCGGTTTCTTTACCATGTAGTAGTTACCTTTAGTTGAACGCGAATTCTTCAGAACAAAAGAAAGTTTCTTTATACAAAGCCATATATATTGATTCGTAAACCATATTTTTAGGAGGAGATGACAATGGTGATGTCGATACCCGACAGCCCCCCAATCGGCCCCAAATCCAACCGAATCCATTGAGCAACGAACGCCTGACCACCGAATTGGGCAACAATGTGACCCTCATCTGCAACGTGGACAACGTGAACACGGAATGGGAACGCGTCGATGGCACACCCCTGCCGCACAATGCCTACACGGTGAGAAATACGCTGGTGATTGTCTTCGTGGAGCCGCAGAATCTGGGTCAGTACCGCTGCAATGGAATCGGTCGCGATGGACGTGTGGAGGCCCATGTGGTGAGGGAGCTGGTTCTCCTGCCCCTGCCCAGGATCACCTTCTATCCCAACATCCCGCTGACCGTGGAGCTGGGCCAGAACTTGGATGTCTACTGCCAGGTGGAGAACGTGCGTCCGGAGGACGTGCATTGGACCACCGACAACAATCGACCACTGCCCAGGTGGGAATTAAAAAGCCCTGACTTTATTGCATACCTTACCTAACCTTCCATTCACTCCAGTTCCGTACGCATCGAGGGCAATGTCCTCAGGTTCGCGTCCATCACTCAGGCTGCTGCCGGTGAATACCGCTGCTCGGCCACCAATCAATATGGAAGCCGATCGAAGAACGCCAGGGTGGTGGTGAAACAGCCCAGTGGCTTCCAGCCCGTTCCCCACTCGCAGGTGCAACAGCGTCAGGTGGGCGACTCCATCCAGTTGCGATGCCGCCTGACCACCCAGTACGGCGACGAGGTTCGCGGCAATATCCAGGTGAGCGTCTTTCCCGAGGAATGTCAAATATATTCCCGATCATGGGCGGATCCGCAGGGGGTGATTTGGGTGATATATTATCCCCCACTCAGGGAAAGAAAGAAAGGAATTTTGCTATTCAAAAAGTACAAACAAAAATTGTTCTGATATCATTATTATTTTGGTTTCTCTTCAAAACAGTATGTATTTTTGGCGTACGACCATTTTTGCCCAAGTTACAGCAAAAAAACCAACAGGAAAAAATTCAAATTTTTACCAAAAACCCAGATCCTAATTTTTCAAAAAATAATTAGTTTTTTGACCATAACAATAAAAATATTGATCCAAATATGGATTGTCATACCATTCTGAACTCGTTATTAAATTTCCAATCGATTGGCATTTAAATCTGGGCATTTTATTTTTTTGCCATTTTTCGTAAAAAAATTATGATGTACCCCCTTATAAAAAAATTGAAAATTGGCGAACATTTTATTTTTCCAAGTTCACCCGGAAAGTGTCATGTATTTATTTATTATTTTGTTATCTGTTCAAAACAGTTTGTCTTTTTGGTGTAGGACCATTTTTGGCCAAGTTTCAGCAAAAAAACAAACAGAAAAAATTCAACTTTTTGCCAAAATAAAACGGATTCCAATTTTCCACAAAAAATAATTCGTTTTTTGACCATAACAATGCAAATATTGATCCAAATATGGATTGCCATACCATTCTGATTTCGTTATTAAATTTTCAATCGATTGGCATTTATACCTGGACATTTTATTTTTTTTACCATTTTTTGCAAAACAACATAATAACCCCTTATAAAAAAAATTAAAATTGGCGAAAATTGTCTGCGAAAGTAATTGGGGACTACTCCCATTTATAAATACGATTTCTATTCGAACAGTTAGTGATACAGTTGACCGATACGATTATTCTACATTGCAGTTCAACTGGTACCGTGAGGACGGCAGCCCCTTGCCCCGCGGTGTCCGTCCGGATAGCCAGGTGCTGCAGCTGGTTAAATTGCAGCCCGAGGACGAGGGCCGCTACATCTGCAACTCGTACGATTTGGGCAGCGGGCAGCAACTGCCCCCCGTCTCCATCGACTTGCAAGTACTAAGTGAGTAATCGCAGCAGGGTTAGGTTTCTTGAGGCACCGCGGTCTGGGTCTCCGACTCCGGCTCAGAGGTGGAGTCGGATTCAGATCCAGATCCGCCGGTTCGCAGTCAGAAGATGTCCTGTCCGACAAGCAACCCTTCTTCCATCTCTCCCCCGACAAAAGAAAAACACATTAAGTAGTAGCCCTTGCCAAAACGAAAGAGATCCATTTCCAAATGGGTTTACTCAAAAAAAAAAAAAAAAGAAAATTTGAACAAAATCTTTGCTAGCCCGAAAACCAAACGAATTAAGTAAGAAATCCTAAAAAAAAACAGAATAATGCTTAAGTTTATAAGAGGAAGAATTTTCCAGGATTAGGCTTTGTTAAGCAGGTTTGATCGTTCGCTGATTTTACTAATTCCCCACTCAAAATATAAATATATGTATATGAATACGCCTATATATATAAACACATCAATGTACTCGTATCTGTTAACATAAACTAAAAAAACCGACAAAAGGAACAAATTACGAAATTGAAAACCGAAAAAACACCCTGTAAATATGCAAACGGAAATTGTCAGTCCCCACAACACCCAAAAAACAAGCAATATTTCCATGTATATATGTCTAGCACTATACAGGAAGCGGTTCCAGGGTCCTACGAACACACTCTGTACATAACAAATGATCAAAAACAAGGATATCGAAATCATTGCAAAAACTTTGGTGGTGGTGGAGTCACAAACGAAAGAAGGACAACTGCCAATCATGTTATGATATAAAGTACACAAGTCCATTGCATGCAAACAAAGTCCGAATCGAAATTATTTTTTTTTCACCAATTGAAATTCTAGCAATCTAAGATCTGGAAAAAGAGAAACTATACACCACACGCACACTTTTATACATATATACGAACATTCTACCAACTTGATAAATCTTAAGCTTACCAAAATGGCTGCCAAAAACATTTCTAATACGATACATTTAAGTAAGCCCCACTTAAAGTGAGAAATAAAACATAATATTAACATTAAAAACTTGCACAACGAAATGTGTGAAGCAAATTGTAACATATTCTTTTTATTTATTTCCCAAGCCCTTGCAGAGGCCTAAAATGTGAGAGTTAAACATGTTTTAAATTTTCTGTCCGATTCAAAAATCCTCTAAAAATTATTGGATTTTTAAATTATTTAAAAATTTGATTTGTTATTCCTGAAAGTAGATTTCCTTTAGATTGAAATAAAATATAAAGGACAATAAACCTTATAGATCTGCAAGGGTATTCAGAGCTTCGGTTGACCGATTCTGGCCATCTTTTGTTGCGTTTTTTAACATTTAAACCCTATTTTGGTGACGGCTCCTCTCTCCCTATCGCTACTGACCCTTGGTGTTTGTCAACTACAGTCCAATTGGACATTTTGTTAATATTAATTTACATTCCTCAAAAGGTTATTGGTTGTCAACTGTTTGTTTGTGTTTTTGTGTATTAATAAGTGTAAATCAATGACAAGTTAATTATCTAAACCATAAGCACTGCACAAGAAATCTACTGCCATGGCCACATTTTTACTCCTGAGTTTCTACAACATCACCGAACTTGCACCCAAAAAGCACACCAAAAACCAATACGAAAGGAACCAGCACAAATTCAATTGTAAATAATGAACTTAACTTTTGTCTTGAATCAGATAAAATCAGTCAAACTTTCAGTCAGATGCAGAAGAATCAGCTTAAAGAATCCGTTGAAGCCGTAGGTTTAATAGTTCCACCAACTTTTTTCAATGCAAATGGAACCCATTGATTAATTTCATATTTATTTCTTTCTCTCTCACGCTTTTCTCTTTCTCTCTCCCACTTTCTTACATGTGCGCTTGTTGAAATATTTTTAAATTACCCTTTGATTTGACTTGACTTAAACTGTTTACTTGGTATATGCTAAATGCTATATATGATATGATATGATATGGTACACTGTGTGCGCTTTTGCTGATCCTATGTCGAACAAAAAACACACACAAAACACAAACAAATTTAATGGTATGGCATGCAACTGCAACTGCAACTGCAATCAATCAATGAATCGAACGACGCAACTACAACTACCCAGGAACTACTACCCAGTATCCTTTCAATCGGTTTAAGGGCGGTGTCTCCCTGAAAGACACGCCCTGCATGGTTCTGTATATTTGTGCAGGTGTGTTACAGCCACCGCCGCCTAACCAATTCTAATCGCAGCGATCCTCCATTATATGATATATATATATATTATTTGTATTTTATTTAAATTCTTTTATTTTGTTTGACCTTTTTTCGTTTATTTTGCATTTGTTTTGTATTATTAATCCAATGATCTTTAAATCTGTATTATGTACTGCCTAACCCTAGAGATGAATAAGTTTTATAAAAAAAAAGAAACAAAAATAATGCCGAAAAAAACTGTAAAAAGTTGCTTTACTGAAACTCCCCCAACCCGCCACGCCCACTAATGCACATAGTCCCACGATAGAGCCTCGACTTTGGATTCGATTAGTAGAGCACCATGTTAACTTATCCAGCATGCGTGGATCCCCAATAATCAATATCATTACCGAGTCTAAGGGGCAGGATATACCTTAGTTTAAGTTGTACATATATAGGGTTTAGGGCCTACTACTACTAACCAAGGGCTTCAGTGCTGCGGAGGCTGTATATTTTTGCTAATTATTTACTTTGTGCCTTCCACAAACCAAACAAAAATAACGAAAATTTTAAAAATAATACTGAATATACCGAAACGAAACACAAAATTGCAAATAAAAAACGCCGCAGACTTCAAGAGCAGCAAACTATCACCTTCGAAGCCCCTGAATTCCGGACCGGCAACGATTAGGACACCAACTATTTCGTACACCTGCCAACCGAACGACTTCAAGTGCGTTTCGCATCCGCACACTTGCATCAGGGCCAACATGGTGTGCGATGGGATCTACGACTGTACGGATCACTCTGATGAATTCAACTGTATCGCCGGCAAGGGAAGCGGAAAATCGGGATCCAGCTCGGGATCGGGGAGCTTTAAGCGCTGGAAGAAGGACCGAAAGTCGGGAAGGAGGAGCCTTGTGAAAGCCTTCAAGGATCGGAAGCTGAGGAAGCGCAGCTTCGGTTGGTCCCAAAGTTTTCTCTCTTCACCCCTCACCGCAAAAGCTTTCCCTCACTCTCTGCCCTGGTATCGCCTATTTAATACCCAACTGTACTTATTTGTATCCCATAGTGTCCTTCCTCCTCCTACTTTCCCATATCCCAATTTCCCCGCTATCCCTTCCGATTTCTATATATTCTTCTCCACCATCTCTTCCTGTCTAATTCCGTATTGCTCGTGGGTGCACCAAATCGTAGAGTTGAAGCGATTGCAATTGGCACTGAAATGAAGGCAACCGATTATCGATAGCCGACCGGCGATAACTGATCAACTGCACCAAATAAAATCAATCGAGAAGTAAAAAGGAGAAACGGAGCACACGCACCTTGAGGGCTTAAAATGTAACAAATAACGATCAACGATAGCCAAACTATCGATACCTTTACAGCGTTCAGCGGGTTGGCAAGCTAACAGGTTTTAACCTTGGATGTATGAAATGCATGCGGCAGGCTATAATGTTACTAACTTTATAACCCACTTTAGACTTACGAAATTTGTGTAAATAATACAAAACACTCAGAAACACACATACACATACGCGCGCACACCACACGATAAACAATAGTTAAGTAATCGAAATTTTGTAAAATATATCTTTAACTGTATCTATATCCCCCTGTATGTATATTTGTGACTCAAACAAACCAAAATGAGACATCTGTGATTTTAGTGGTAACCCAAGTCCAAATTAGATCTGTAGAACTGAACATTCGAGATGAGAAACCAAAAATGAAAACCAGATTAAAACCAATCTAAACGACCCCATTCGTAACCCCACATGTATTCGTATTTTGTGTGATTCGATTCGTAGCAGTATTGAGTAAAAGTAGCTCCATAAAAAGTAGTCCACCTCACCAATCCACAAAGTCCCCTCTCTGTCGCCTCTCTATATGTATATCGTATCGTATCTATGTATGTCTAACTAGGAAATCAAATTCCAAATCGAAACAACTAAAACAAAACTGAGAGCGATATGAATCGAACGATAAGTGACTAAAATTCACTTTGCAACAACATCTATGAACTTATTAGAAATGGAAAAAACTTTACCGATAACCAATTACAACTTATCGATCGATAACTATCGCCTTCTTTCTGTTTGAAATGCCTATTTTGACCTGTAATTTTGCTAACTGTTTATTCTCTCTCTGTGTATTTTTTACTATCTTATTCCCATTTCCATGGCTCACACACAAACCACACACACAAATACAAAAACACCACCCACACACATACACATACTTAAACACACACACACATAAACACATGCACCCATGCACTTGTGAATTGTCGCTGAATTGTGAACGTCCTTGTCGACCTGTCGCCCCCGTTTCAATGTGTGTGTGTATCCGATGTCCTGTTGGCGGTTGGGCCCTATCAGCGGTACCAGCGGCTCCCCAGAACCCCATCTACCTGCCGCCAGTGGCGCCACCACGTTCGCCCGAAAGGATCCTCGAGCCCCAACTGAGCCTGAGTGTACAATCCTCGAACCTGCCAGCCGGCGACGGCACCACCGTCGAGTGCTTCTCCTCCGATGACTCCTACCCAGATGTCGTGTGGGAACGCGCCGATGGAGCTCCACTCAGCGAAAATGTCCAGGTGAGTTCGGTTTTTACAATACCACCTCATATTTCGAACCTATTCTTCACTATTCGCGAATTCTTGGATATCCTATACACCCAAGAACAAATCAATATGAAACGTAGATCAATTTTACATTTATTTACATAAAATTGACCTGGTCGAAAAAAGTATTTCATGTAAAAACGATATGGGCTTACATGGTCATATCGATTTTACGGGAACATGCTTTTTTTTAGTCTTTTCCGTAACCCCTTTAGATCCTAAATTTTCTTACTTTGTACTTTTCATTTACCAACCTTTAATACCTAATTTTCTGCATCATTTATTAAACTTCTACAGCAAGTGGGCAATAACCTGGTGATTAGTAACGTGGCCTCCACCGATGCCGGTAACTATGTGTGCAAGTGCAAGACGGACGAGGGAGATCTGTATACCACCAGCTACAAACTGGAGGTCGAGGAGCAGCCCCATGAACTGAAGAGCTCCAAGATAGTCTACGCCAAGGTTGGCGGAAATGCCGACTTGCAGTGCGGAGCCGATGAAGATCGACAGCCCAGCTACCGTTGGTCTCGCCAATACGGACAACTTCAGGCGGGACGCAGTCTGCAGAATGTAAGTTATAAACCTAATTCTAAGTTCTCTTAAAAACGTCCGGCTTTTCCAATTCCAGGAGAAACTTTCGTTGGATCGCGTTCAGGCCAACGATGCCGGAACTTATGTTTGTTCGGCCCAATACAGCGATGGCGAGACGGTTGACTTCCCCAACATTCTGGTTGTGACCGGGGCGATTCCCCAGTTCCGCCAGGAGCCCCGCAGCTACATGAGCTTCCCCACGCTCTCGAACTCCTCGTTCAAGTTCAACTTCGAGCTGACCTTCCGGCCGGAAAACGCCGACGGACTGCTGCTCTTCAATGGACAGACCCGCGGAAGCGGTGACTATATCGCACTCTCGCTGAAGGATCGCTATGCGGAGTTCCGGTTCGATTTTGGCGGTAAACCGTTGCTGGTGCGAGCGGAGGAGCCACTGGCTTTGGATGAATGGCACACGGTGCGCGTGAGTCGCTTCAAGCGGGATGGCTACATCCAGGTGGACGACCAGCATCCGGTGGCCTTCCCCACCTCCCAGCATCAGCAGGTAAGCTCTATTTATTTTTTAAAAAAGTTTAAATAAGTAATACCCCCGTTTAATCGATAGATACCCCAGTTGGAACTGATTGAGGATCTGTACATTGGCGGCGTGCCCAACTGGGAGTTCCTGCCCGCCGAGGCGGTGGGTCAGCAATCAGGCTTCGTGGGCTGCATTAGCCGGCTGACCCTGCAGGGACGCACCGTGGAGCTGATCCGGGAGGCCAAGTTCAAGGAGGGCATCACCGATTGCCGGCCCTGCGCCCAGGGACCCTGCCAGAACAAGGGCGTCTGCCTGGAGAGCCAGACGGAGCAGGCCTACACCTGCGTCTGCCAGCCGGGCTGGACTGGCCGGGATTGTGCCATCGAGGGCACCCAGTGCACCGCAGGAGTTTGCGGCTCGGGACGCTGCGAGAATACGGAGAACGACATGGAGTGCCTGTGCCCGCTGAACAGGGCAGGCGATCGATGCCAGTACAATGAGATTCTAAATGAACAGAGCTTGAATTTCAAGAGCAACAGCTTTGCGGCCTACGGGTAAGTTGGCTTACTATATCTTATCATTTAAACCCACTAATATAACTTTGCTTCTGTAGAACTCCCAAGGTCACCAAAGTAAACATCACACTCTCCGTTCGTCCCGCGAGCCTGGAGGACTCTGTGATCCTGTACACGGCGGAATCCACTCTGCCCAGCGGCGATTACCTGGCTTTGGTCCTTCGCGGTGGCCACGCGGAGCTGCTGATCAACACGGCCGCCCGCTTGGATCCCGTGGTGGTGCGTTCGGCGGAACCGCTGCCCCTCAATCGCTGGACCAGAATCGAGATCAGGCGTCGCCTGGGCGAGGGAATCCTCAAGGTGGGCGATGGACCCGAGCGAAAGGCCAAGGCACCGGGATCCGATCGCATTCTGTCGCTCAAGACCCACCTCTTTGTGGGCGGCGTCGATCGGTCGACCGTAAAGATCAACCGTGATGTGAACATCACCAAGGGCTTCGATGGCTGCATCTCGAAGCTGTACAACTCGCAGAAATCCGTCAATCTGCTGGGTGACATCAGGGATGCGGCGAATGTCCAGAACTGTGGGGAGGCGAATGAGATAGATGACGATGAGTATGAGATGCCAGTAGCGCTGCCATCGCCTAAGGTCGCCGAGAATGAACGTCAGCTGATGGCGCCGTGTGCCAGTGATCCCTGCGAGAACGGGGGAAGCTGCAGCGAGCAGGAGGACATGGCCATCTGCTCCTGTCCCTTCGGCTTCAGCGGCAAACACTGCCAGAATCGTAAGTGGAAACAGAAAAGTGTGATTAAAGGGATAGCTAATCCTCATCCCCATTCCATTACAGACCTCCAGCTGAGCTTCAATGCCTCGTTCCGCGGCGATGGCTACGTGGAGCTGAACCGCAGCCACTTCCAACCCGCCCTGGAGCAGACGTACTCCCACATTGGCATTGTGTTCACCACCAACAAGCCGAATGGCCTGCTTTTCTGGTGGGGCCAGGAGGCCGGGGAGGAGTACACCGGACAGGACTTCATTGCCGCCGCCGTGGTCGATGGCTATGTGGAGTACTCGATGAGGCTCGATGGCGAGGAGGCGGTCATTCGGAACAGCGATATCCGCGTGGACAATGGCGAGCGGCACATTGTGATCGCCAAGCGGGATGAGAACACCGCCATGCTGGAACTCGATCAGATCCTGGACACGGGCGATACGCGACCCACCATCAACAAGGCAATGAAGCTGCCGGGCAATGTGTTTGTCGGTGGGTGTCCTTATCTCTAGCAATTCTTAATCCCTGGGCAATTACTTAGCTAACCTATTTTCCCTTTCCTAGGTGGCGCTCCTGATGTCGCGGCATTCACGGGCTTCCGCTACAAGGACAATTTCAACGGCTGCATTGTGGTCGTCGAGGGCGAAACCGTGGGCCAAATTAACCTTAGTTCAGCTGCCATCAATGGAGTGAATGCCAACGTGTGTCCCGCGTAAGTAGTTCTTGAGATCTCTCTTAATATCTCCAGTCACAAGCTTTCCTTCTGCCTGCCTGCCTGGAAATACGTAGTCTGTGGAGTCCTTCTAGCCTCGTTCACCAGGAGATCGGTACTCACGTAGTTATCGATAACCATGTGGTTGGCCGGGATCTGAGTTTTTTCGACGAACTGGATCAACCGCCACCGGTGCATATTTTCTATCCGCGTCCCAATACCAACGAGTTTCCCACCAGCGAGGCCCATCGAGTGGTTCTATCGCTTTGGCTATCAATAGTCCTCTTGAGTTGCCGGCTAGCAGTGATATCCTTGTGTCTGTTGCCCGCCCCCAGCTAAGCTCGATTAATCAGGGTCGCAGCGGAAATGATATCGAATCAGTTGAGGGAATCGTTTATCGCCGGCAGCTGACTGTTGGCAACTGTACCCCTTACCTAAACATTAAAGGAATCTTCTTCCATTTTTGTTAACCCGAGAAAGGCGGCTATGACACTTAGGCCCATGAAAAGTACTATAACTAAAAAGGCATTATTATATTTGAGCAATTCTAGTTAGATAATTTCCTGATACAAAAAAGCTCAAAATAACTTCTTTCAAATGTTAAAGAATTTCGAATGAATCATATTTGAAATGTTTAATACAACCTATGTAGAAAATATTTCTGACTAATGTTTTGAACTGTTTGCCTATCTCATTTATATTTGAAAATATAAAATCTAGAAAGTGTCGTAGCTGCATAACCCAAACGGATTAGTCAAAAACATTTGGGAGTGTTACCATTGGAATTATCGTGCCATATCATTGCAAAATATCATGTTATATTATACAAAGTATAGTTAGAAACCGCAGCCAGATAAACGAACATAGATAATCGACTAGTATTAAGCTATCCTAAAGGATACTAAGACTCTAAGCGTGTTTTTTTTTCTAGTCAATTAGTTAGCACCGAATCGAACATATGCGGAATATACATACACATATGATATTGTTACAGATCTTATCTAGTATTAGCCACGTCTAGCTGGATTGTTCTCGTTTCGAAGCCAAGCTCAGGGCAAACAACTCCAAAGCTATATACTCGAATACTCTTGCCTAGATAGCTAGTCGAACGTAAACTTATTCCATAGGAAAACCCCTCTAAACAGATATCTGTGTAATCTATCCTGCGATACTGAAGTTCTAGCTAAATGTAGTCGAAACTGATCCTGCTTTGTGACCATGGCTATAAACAGTTCAGATTATTATTATTATGAAACAAGTAGCCATTATTTAAATGCATCTATTTTTAGCTGATCTCAATTTATCTCAAAAAGACGTCTTTACCCGTACTACAATATTATTTGTTATAGCTAAATATTATCCAAGATTAATGTCTAGACGTTCCGATAATAATCAACCGCTCTGAAACTCACAGTTGCTCTCGTATTCTTACTGACATATATAAATGTTTAAAGTCGGGTAAACACAAATTATATATTTACATGCATATTGATATCGAATGTACGGAGAAATCAGTGTTCTTCGCGTTGAGGCAAAGTCTGAAAATGCAGTTTAGCGAGGCTTTTAAACAACTTTTACACAACTCAAAAAATATGTAAAACGGATGTAATTAGAAAAAATCCTTTTTTATTACATTTTTTTGACTGACTTTATTATGATTTCATTTGGATCAACTACTATTACTATTGGTTAAGTGTTTATTTTTATTTTCCCTAATTTATTTTTAATTTCCTTTGTTTATTTATTGTTTACACCAGTAACGACGAACCTCTGGGAGGAACCGAACCGCCAGTCGTCTGAGGACACAACCAGCAACCGAAATTAGCTTTTTAATTAAACATTAACAAATGAAACAAAAAGAAAAACAATTTTTATATATACAACATATGAATAAGCCCCAAGCAAACCTACAAAAAATTGAATATTATACGACGAACAGATAATATAAAAACAAAAAAAGAGAGAAACGATCACTTCTACTACAATTGCTTCTTCGATCCTTAAGTCTAGGTTAAAGATTGTAGCAAGAAAACAAGCGAATATCACAAACATTTATTTAACAAGAACGCCATGCGAGAAGTGAAACGAAACAGAAACAATAATGCAATTAATGCAGATAATACAGATAAAGCCTAGAACCCTAAGAACTAACTAACTAACTCGAACAAGAACAACAACGCATACTAGCCAACTGCAACCACAACAACCACAATAGTGAAGGCATTTTAATTATAATTTTAGTCTCTAGCTTATAACTATGACTACGACTCGTTTTTTTTGTGAGCCCAGTGTAAAATGTTGGAAATCGGAAATTGGCCCTACACACAAACACACACAAGTTATTAATTAAATACCAATTGATACCATATAATGATAAATGAAATACTATGAATGCAACTATTGTGAACGAACGAAAACCGTTGAGTGGATAAAAAGCATAAGCAGAAGATATATTAAAATGAAATCAACAACACTTCTGAGGGTGTTTAACTATGGGAGGAATATGGGGCATCATATCTTCATACATCTTCATCAAGGAGTTTTCAGGAAACACAGGTACTTGTATTTTTTATTTAAAATACTTTGAGCTTATAATATATAATATATGATTTAAATTAATTTGTTTTTACGCGAGCTGTGTTATAGACAGTTAATTGAGTTAGGAACTCGCTTCTTGAAGTATAACCGAATTAACAACAAAGTGGCACGTGATTTGTTGATGGGGGCTCCTCCGAAGCTCCTCGCGCAGCCTCCAGTTCGCTCTCCCCGCTCTCTCCCTCTCCGCCTCTGCGCCTCTCTCCTCGGTGGTCTTCGCCCCGTCGCTCAGCTGAGTCGAGTGAGCAGAGACCCATTCCCATGTTCACTTCGCTTCGCGCCGCCGAACAAGAAAGACGTGTGTGCGGAGAAAGAGAGCTGCGCCCTCGAACTGAAAGCCATAGTGTAACCCTTGGCGCCCGCGTCGTGCTAATTACCTTTAATATTTACCCTTTTTTTTTGGCTGTTTCAACAACCCTGTGAGTGGCTTTAGTTGTAAAGAAATCTTAAGAATTACAAGTGCAAAAGTCTTGGGAATAATTGCCAGCGAGAGAGAGCGAGCAAAGTGCGTGTGCCAAGTTTGTTTTTATTTTTAAAACGGCAACCGGCTAAAAAGGCAGCGGCGTCGCGTAGAAAACACCTAATAACTATAAATTATGGGGCTCCCTCCCGGTGGGATCTCAATAGTTTCCGAATGTTTGTCAAAAAGCGGGGAAATGGAAATGGATCCCCAGACATACTTATATCGAATGTCGGACAGTCGGCGGATGTGACTAAGAGCCACCAAATTCAATTTAACCCGATGCGATATGCGATGCCAATCCGTGTTCTCGTGTGTATATTTGAAAGGCTTTAAAAATGCCATAACATTTTAATAGGTTTCTTTTATTTGGTTTGCCTTTCCTCTCGGCTCGCATTGTTCTTTTACTACTTGTTTTTAGTTCGATGGGAAAAATCGCAAGAATGCCGCCTCAAGTGATCAAAATCTAATCAAAATATTTACCGTTCGTTTAGCGTGCGACGAGAAGAGGAGAGGAGATTGGAGAGAAGTACGTACTTACAGCGAGGATTTACCTGCCCTTCGAAATCGCAGAAAAGCCAACAGGTGAGTTTTTGAAACGGTAAAAAGCCAGTGGCTCGAAAGTAGTTCATCTGGTCAGTACAGTCCGTACATGTCGGTAAATCAGACAAAACCCCCCGCCCCCCAGGAAAACCACTGCCATATCGATCGATTCCAGTTGACAAGTTTTTCGCGATGGCCATGTGGCCATGTCCTTTTTTGGCCAACGGGCGAGATGGCCAATGGCCAATTGCCAATTGCCGTTACTTTTATGTGTCAGCGGGCCCCCAACAAAAATAACAACAAGTGTTGCACATCAAATTCAGCGCGTACACAAACCAGAAAAGTGGGGAACCAAACCTGTCATCCGAGTGGGGGGGAAGTGGGAAGGGGGGGCCTTAAAGACCATCCTTCATTCCCCTTTTTTGCTCGTTGATAACATTAATGAACTGTCTATGTGCTAAGCACCAGAATAGAACCCCAAGTTGGGGAGACGATGAGCGAACGGGAGAGGTTGCTCAACTACAGTGGGGTCTCCTTTAATGGGAGAAGTAAAAAAATTAGCAAGGAACATTTTTTAATTAAATTCTCTTAGTAAAAAAAATGAGACTTTTATGCCTGGTACCATTTTCGAGTTATACAATTTTTAGACCACTATTTGTGTTCTTTTATTGAGATTAAATCTATAATAAATCTGATTTAATAAATTCAAATTTATTAAAAAGTAATAAGATATAAGTTCCTATTCCATCTTAGCCAAGTCCACCTGTAGTTTGAGCACACACATTTTTGTTGCCATTGGCAAGAGGTGAGAGAGCGGAATGCAACAGGCAGCTGGTCGCAGAACAAGATCATCTGGGAGAAAAAGAGATACAGAGATATATCCAGAGAACCGGACTCAACTCATGGCCAAAACCAAAACCAATACCAATACCAATGCCGAAACCCAAACTAAAACCATTTTCCTGCCTGTTCCCGCTAACAATAAATCAAAGGGCAGGGGGAAAAGCCCAACAATAAAAATCAAGGCAAGTGTCGTCGTCTCATTCTGCAGGCCAAAAAGGGAAGGCAATGGGAATGGGAATGAGAATGGGAATGGGAATGGTCAGAGAGCCTTTGTCTCGTTGTTGATGGGATTTCATTATTACTTTCGATTGTGGCCCATTGAGACACAGTTCCTTCGCTCCGTCTTGTTGCTCATCGAAAATGCAGACAAACAAAAAGGTCTCTGGATCCAAACAAAAATAAACACGCCGAGCAGCATCATCATCATCATCGCCGTCATCGTTCCCATTCCCATTCCCAATCCCAATCCCGAACCCAAACCCAATCTCAAACCATCCACCTCGTCATCTTCCTGGGCTCCTTTGCTGCAACTCTAATCGCATAAGCAGATAGACGAGGTGAGTTGAGGGACAGGGCCACACTGAAAGAAGGTAGAAAATAAATAAAGCGATAAATGGAAAATAAATTTCAAAAAATTACTTTTCAAGTGGCCCTGCATGAGGAGATCCCCACCCCCGAAATCAGAGATCTATTCGCTGTGGGGTCCATGCTAACTGACGAGTCCGACGAGCTACCGATCCGAAACTTGGCCAGAACAGGTCCTTTTCACCGGGGAATCGATCTATAATGAATCCATTTGGATTGGTTTAGCATAAAACGAGGTAATTGGATTGGACAGTAAAAGATTTAGATGCTCCATGTTGGCAATACCAATCAAAGAGCCCTCCCATGGCTAGAAAATGCATTCTGAAACAGAACGAATTATCTTATATGTACTATCGTTAATACATTTCCTACACTTTATAACGCGTATTAACAATCCCAAAGATCTCAGCTATAATTTTCCCATTCTTTGTGCTCGAATTTCATGGCCAAAATGATCGCGATCGTTTCTCGCACTCCATTAGTACTGATCCACTGATCTAGTTTCCATCCAGCCCACATTCTACCATATCTCACAGTCATAATGAGGAAAACAGAATGCTCCGAGTGCATTCGCCATCAAAATTAGACATTGACACCTTTTCCCCCTGGGACTTCGATTTCGATTTTGATTTTTCGATTCCGAAACGGATTTTTTGGTTCCGTAAAAACGGCGCATAAAAATTATTTCACGCCACGCCGAAAATGGGCCCCCAAGAAATTATGATTAATGTTGAAAACATAAATTGGATTTGATTTCTGTTTGTTTGCCGCTTTCGTGCAACTTTGTCTCGCTTTTTCTCGCTCTTTTCTCGGTGTTTTGTGTCTTTTTCGGGGTTTTTTCTTGGTCTTTATGGCTCGGTTTTTTTATATTTTGTATTTTTTGCTAGGTAGCCGCCGCCTGTTCATTAGCACAGACTAATCATTGGAGCACAAGAGGCTGCCGTGGGGCAGGAGAAAAAAAGATCGGGGAAAAGGTGGCAATCAACGTGAATGAATGAATGGCTGAACTCTCGTCTCGACTTTGAATCTTGTGAATGAGCCTGAAACCGAAGCGCGGAGCCGGCATGAATGGGAGGTTTTTTATTCAGGGGAGGGGTTATGTTTCTCCTCGCCTTTTTTCTGATCTTCGTCGCTCTCCCCCAGCGGAAGTGTAATTGCAGGCTGAATTGGCCCGGATTCCGATTCGGATTGGGAATGGGAATGGGAATCTTGGCCCATCTTAGCTCTTTCTTCAAGCGGCTAAATTAGCCCCGACAAAAAGACAAATGAAGGCAATGAAGAACAACCAGCTGAACACGAAGAATCGGGGATTAGAAAACGGAAGCGCATTACAAGCCGCCAACGTAATGTGATCACATATGTTCTTCTGAATGATGCCACGCCCCCAGATCCCGAAATTCGGGGTTTAATGGAGGGAAGGGCGAATCTCAGGCACGTAGATCTCTGGCTTATCGGTAGCGACAATAAAAAAAACCTGTGGGATAAGCACAGAAACAGGGAATGTGGTTCCATAAAATATGTATGTAGGGTATGTGGATTATTATTAAATAATATTAGGAAATATTGATATATTTGATCTTGGGAACAGTGCACTGTACAAACATTGACTGCATCGAACGACTTTATAGAGAGCAATATCATCAGCAATCTAGAACTAACCGCAGTAGTTGAAACAGAAACCGAAACAGAGACAAAGACGGTAGTGCATACATAAGTAAACGTTCCCCCCAATCCGTAGCACTCCTTATCGGCGGGGACATCGGCGGTCCGTGACGATGACAACAGCAACTTTGGAGCGGCGACACTCCAAATCACCGACGACAGACCGAAAGAGATGGACTGAGGAGACTGAGGAGGAGAGACCGAGATGGCAGACAGACCAAACAGACAGGAAGTGGGCTATTTGCACTCCAATCCCAAAACAAGTCATAATTTTCGACAATGGGCCGCAGACGACGACACTACGGTTACGTGGAATTCGGCTACCTCCGCCCTTTCCTTTCCTCCTTTATCTCGCACATATCTCCGCCCTCTGGAGTTTTGATAAAGTGGCTCGTCGGCGGGACGAGGGACATTTAATAAGCGACAATTTAGCGCTGAAGTCTGACATTGACACAGGTAGGGAATCGCAGTAACAATGCCCAGGTAGCCTCCGCCTCTGTCGTGCTCAGTGATTCAGGAACTCTGGCAAGTGTTCACCGAAAAAAGCAGGAAAAAACTCGGAGGGATGTGCGGATGTTGATATCTTCAGCGGAGATCGACGGGAATGGCTCGCCTGGTCTATAAAACTAATTTTAAACGGTTCACTTCGCATCACAAGAGGGCTGACAAAGAATATCTAGGACCATCGCATCAAGTGAATGAATTGTGGAATATTGCCTGAAACTAATGAAACGATTTTTGAATTTATAGTGGTTAGAATGAAATAAGATTATATGATTTTTTTG